GTGGTGTCAGCCTAGCTCACAGCAACCTCAAACTCCTGGGCTCAAGCGATCCTCCTGCCTCAGCCTCCTGAGTAGCTGGGACTATAGGTGCACGCCAGCACACCCAGCTAATTTTTCTGTTTTTCGTAGAGATGGGATCTCACTCGTGTTCAGGCTGGTCTCGAACTCCTGACCTCAAGCGATCCTCCCGCCTTGGCCTCGCAGAGTGCTGGGATTACAGGCGTGAGCCACCGCGCCTGGCCCAAGGGCTAATTTCCTAGGCACTTACTGTGGGCCAGGTGCAGCGCCAAGCCCTGAACAATCTCTGTGGGTTTTCTAAATTCACATCTCTGGGTTCGAGTGTCTCATCTGTAAAACGAGGATAACAATACCTAGTTCTCTGGGACAGTCTGAAGATTTGATGAGCTAATATGTCAGGAGCTTAGAGCGGTGCCTGTTCTGATAGGAATAGCTCAGTCAACGTTAGGGATTTGTTCAGCAAATATTTACTGAGCCTCTGTGGTGAGTCCGGCATCGGGGTAGGTGCCGAGGGCACAACAGGGACCCGCAGTCAGAAATCCCTTCCCTCATGGGGCTCCTGTTCTCGTGAGGGAGACTGTCGCTTAAGCAGAGAAAGGTGGTATGGTCGTACCATATGTGGCATGGTCGTAAGGACTGTGGAGAGAGAAAAAGCAGTGATAAGGGGTAGGTGGTGGGTGCTACATCAGACAGGGAGATCAGGGAGGGCTTCTTCAAGGAGGTGACATTTGAGCAGAGACCTGAGGGAGGGTAAGGAGTGAGGCATGTGGACTCCCGGGGAGAGAGCAGTCCAGGCAGAAGGAACAGCAAGTGCAAAGGTCCTGAGGTTGAAGGGTTGCTGGTGTGTTTGAGGAACAGCGAGGGGGCCAATGTGGCTGTGGCCAGAGGGGAAGAGCTATAGAGGGGGAGACGTGAGCAGATCGTGCTGGGCCCTGTGGGCCACGGTGAGGTCTCTGGCTTTTACTCTGAGCGAGAGGGGATCCAGGGAGGGTTGTGAGCAGCGGAGTTTCATGAACTCACTTACGTTTAAATTCTTCTTATTATTGCTGCTGCTGCAATTGTGATTATTCCCAGGATAAGAAGGGAGATCCGGTAGTGGCCCAATGCCCCGGTGGAGGTGGAATTCGAACCCCAGACTGGAAGCCCTCGCTCCCGCCCGCCTCGCGAAGGCGTCCTC